TTTTTTTTTTTTTTTTTACTGTCTGATGGAAATTTTACGTTTTAATCGCCGATAGTTCTAGTGTTAAAAGGTCTGTTCTTGAATTTACAACCGCGGATTTTTAACCCAAATACGTGTTATCGAGAGTACGATAAAAAAGGATAGAATCTCGCATGTTAAAATTTCCTATAAATGCACGAAAGTCCGCAGAAACTGAAATTCTTGGTTCGGTTGCGTTTCCGAGCCCAAACTTCAAGGATTTACGCGAAATGTTGCGTACGAGGATTTCTACGAAATTTACAATCGGAAAGCGAATTTATGCGCGAAAACCTGGTGCACGCCGATTATAATTTCGTTATAATTGGTCGCTGTATACTTCGAGAGTTGGACGGATACTGACTTTCGGTGGATCATCGGTTTTATCGCGCTAAAAGTCTAATGATCGAACTGCTCGCTTGGCGCGCGTATAGAGAGTACGACGAGTCTTGAAAGTATTTGTATTGAGAAGCTATTCGAGCGGAGAGGGAAGATAACCTATAGCATTAAGGACATAGACCATAGGCCATTACGTTCGAAACAGCAGGCAGCGTGAGCATGAAACATGAGTTTCTATCCCCAAAGACGCGATACAACGTGAGCATCGAGTTATTTCGCTGCACGAAATTTCAATATTCGCGAGTTTATAGTGTATAGCCGAGGAATGCTGAAAGTAGTTCGAGTCAATCATCTCGACGAAAAACACGGACATCTCACGTTTGTGAAAGATGTTCCATGTAGATGCTCCATCATACTAAATAGACGAAATTTTCAATTATCTTTACAAGGGGAAAGATAATTGAACATTCCGTTCGTTGTTAAAATGTTCAGTTTAAATATTATCCTATATTAATTGGAGAAACGTAATTAATACAAAAGAGGGTGATTAATTTCAGAACCCGTGTTAATTAAATTTTTGTTCTTTTCCCGATGAATGCTACACGAATACTACTACAGCACGACAATTTTGGACTTGTGTTTGCAACACCTTCCTATCGAATTGCAAATGAACATTCTTTTTGTGTCCTCGAGAAAGCTTATCCAAATATTTGGTAAATCAATGACAGCATGATTCCTGGTAGAAAATCATCAATTCACAGAGATGCACTCGTTCAGTTCGAAGTCGAGTATCGAACGAACGTGAGACTTCCGCGAGTAAAATTTATCAACGCCATTTTTAATTACTTTTTGTGGCCTGGTCTCCACAAATTCGCAAGGAAACAATAAACCTAATAGTTTCTCAATTGATAGAGTCGAGCAATTTTGATTTGTCGAAGAGTCGCCTGTAATAAAAGCACGACTGTCTCACGACTAATCGCGAAAGCGATTAGTAAACATCGGCTGGTTCCGTGAACCAGCGGCGTCGTAATTCCACGAACGACAAATGACAAGAAATGTTCGTCGATTACGATTATAGCGAGACGAAGGGGAATAAAGACTTGTCTGTACTCACTGTCCTTCACGCAGAATGCGCCGATAATCCAAAGTGGGAAGAGCGGCACGATGAACACGTTCCAGTATCTCGCATTCGTGTTGCACCGTAGACTCCTCCCGACGTGCAGCCTAAGGTAAATCATGATCGTTCCACGTGAACTATCCGCGGCTCGATCATAGCAACCGATTGTCATGCAGCATCATCCACCAATCCCACCGACACCATGCGTGGAATATGCGAATTTCCTCGCGCAGGGAATTAAGAGATCCTTCGCGGCACCGTTGGGGCTCGCCTTCACGGCAACTGCATTCCCGTATCCTGCGTGTCTCTCGCACACTGCTCACGCCACATCCTCCTTAACGTAGCGCCGAGTCGCTACGAGGAACTCGATAAGTCGATCATCGAGTTATCCACACTACCGACCGATAGATCGCGATGGAACGCGGAAACGCGACGACGATTAATACCGACCGAGAAAACAGAGCCAGAGTTGACACTTGACAAACAAATTAAAAAAAAAAAAAAAAAAAAAAAAGAAAGGAGAAAAAGAAGAGAAATCACTGCCCCCGTAACTGCGTCGGATGTGAGACCGAGAGCGTGGAGGTTTCGTGACGAGCTGGGAAGCCACGCAATCGGCGGCGAACACGCGCGATCACTGTCGAGACGAAAGCAACATCACTCACTCACGGTGAAACGGTCG